AATTTTCTTGAGGGCCGAGAAGGCAGCTTGCTCTTTCTCCCCCCACGTGTACTCAACCCCCTTCCTCAACAGATCCGTCAGTGGGCCAGTCAGCTTCGCCATGTTGGGGACGAACTGGCGCACATAGTTGACGAACCCAAGAAACTCTGCCGCTCTGTCAGATTTGTCGGCACGTGCCATGCTTGAATCGTCGCGATTTTCTTCAAGTATATTTCCACTCCGTCGGCTGCAGTAATGTGCCCTAAAAACTCCAGTCTATCCTGTAGAAACTCAGACGTAGAGGCTTTGGTCAGTAGGTGGTTCTCACTCAGTATTTTAAAGACTGCTTCGATGTCCTATAGGTGTAAAGCTCTGTCTGGGCTGTAGATCAGTATGTCGTCGAGGTACACGATCACACACTTATCTAAAAGTGGGCGAAAGGCTCCGTTCATGGTCATCTGGAAGGTCGCGGGGGCGTTGTTTAGTCTGAAGTTGGTCGATCAGTTCGTCGGCTCGCGGGATGGGGTAACGGGACTTAATGGAAACTCGTTTCAGCGCGTGGTAACCTATGCACATGCGAAATCCTTCGTCTTTTTTTGGCGTGAACAGTATCGGTGTTGCGAAGGATGACGAGCTCGGGCGAATGAACTGTTTTTTGAGCAGGTAATCTAACTGCTTCCGTAGTTCGTCCAGTTCGGGTTGGGTCAGTCGGAACTTTCGCAGTACTGTCGGCTTTGCCCACGGTTCCAGTTCTATCTTGTGGTCGTGCAGCCACTGAGATGGCAGTCCCTCTGGTAGGTCGTCCGGAAAAATCCCGCTAAACTGCTTCAGTAACGCTGCCAAGTCACCCGGTACGTCGACGAGCAGTTTCTGTAAATCACTCCCCTTGTCTGCTGCCTTGACTTCCCGGATGTCAACCGCATACACACCAGCTCCTGCCGCTACAGTGCGTTTCATTGTGATCGCGTTGACACGCACCGACGAAGACTCAGGCGAGCTCCAACGAGGTAGGGCGGTGTTGCTACCGTTTACTTGCACGGTGTAGTCTCCCGTCGTCCAGTCGATTCGCGGATTGTGTCGTCGCAGCCAATCACGACCGAGTAAAATGTTGGTCTTGTCAAGGGTCGTTGCAGGCATTTCTTCGGTAAAAGTGAAGCTACCCCCGCATCGAATCCGAACTCAGTCCACACCTTCCTATATTGCCAGTGGCGTGCCGTCGACCAGTCGTGCGTCAATCTGAGGTAAACATCTATCTAGTGCCAGTTTCAGTCTCCATGCGGTGGCAGTGTTGATCAGGCTGTGGCTTGCCCCCCCATCCACGAAGATCTTAACTATGTCTGTCCCTATTTTCCCACTAAGCAGTATGGGGCTGTCTACCATTGCACCCACCTTATTCGGCCGGGTGTGGTTGATTGCGTGAACCGGCGCAATCAATCGGTGAGGGTCGGTTGGGTCGGGAGAGCAGCGTGACCTGTCAGTAGAGGGCCCGTCTGCTACTGACTCCTAGTGTTTCCCTGCTGCTTGGTCTGTTTCTGGCACTCAGCTTCCCCCTTTCCCTTAGCGTTTTCCGGGCATTTGCTTTTGCAATGTCTCGGCCTGTTGCACGCGAAGCAGCGCCCTTTGAATGGTGCGGCAGCGACATTCGCGGCGACAACGCGTATCGTGGCTTGCTCGTTCGTCCCCCAAGGCCGATGTCCCCAGTTGTTGTTGTTGCCGTAGGACCTCGGTCTCGGTTGGCGTAAGAAGTCAAGCGTCTCCGCCATAGCGATGATGTCCTGGAATTCGGTGACGTTGCGAAGCTGGATTTCTTGGGCGATTTCATGTTTCAGGCCGCCGATGTAGCGGTCAATGCGTTCTCCCTCGTGCATGAGCCCACCTGCTTGGATGACACCAAAAACCTGCTCGTGTAGTCTTGGACGGAACCGAGTTGTTGCCAAGTGCGGAGCTTCTGACGCGCCGCGATCGAAGCAGCGATCATAGTCGCCATTGGCTCGGATCGTGCTCGCAGACCTGCGCACCACGCGTCCCACGTGCGATATTGGGGCACTTCCACGAAATACGGCGGCACCCAGGGTCCGGTTTGTCCTTCCCGTGTCGGTAGAGTCTTGAAGTCCACCGGCTTTGTGACGATGACGTGCCACCAGTCCAGGGCGGGTCCTCGCAGCTACGACACGGCGTATCGAATCTTCACCGAGTCCTCCGAGATGTAGTTGGCGTCGAAAAAAACGTTCACCGTGAACAACCACGCCAGAACGGTCGGACCGCCCCGTTGGCTGGGATCGAAGCGAGGTGGACGCTGCGGATCAAGCGGCATCTGTGACGGCAGTGCTGACTCGCCAGTCGGCACCGAAATCGTGACGCGCGGTTGGCTCCTGGCCGCATTCGTCGCTTCGGGGTGTGTCGCGCCGTGGTCATCGTCTCCGTTGTTGCGGGAAACGCCATCACTAGCCGCGCTCGAGGGTTGCCCCATGCTTCCGTGTTGCAAAGCTTGTCATTCTTGTCCCTGTATAGCTTGTGTTTGTGATTGTGCTTGTTGTGCCCGTGCGACATCGTTTTGCAGTGACGCACGTTTCAGCGCCACAATTTCTTCAGAACTTTCGCGCAGCTGCTCCAATAGTTGGTTCAGACGCTCCTGCGTGAGAGTCGTAACGTCAATATGTTCGACCATTTAGAAGGACGGCGGCTCGGCTTAGATTTAGGCGCAGTCGTGGCTGCACGCGTTTAATCCATTCTTAAAAATCAGATGAACCCAAAAAAACCAGTCTAGAAATTTATACAAACTGACAAAGATGTCTGATAGCGAGGACCCTGGGACGGCTAGATGGGGGGCCGCTGGAGGGGTCACTTGGGGGGGGGGGGGGGGGTGGGGGCTAGAGGTGGGGCACTGGCAGTACTAGGGGCAGAAGCGAGGGACCTAAACGTAGTCATGATACCATGTTAGAAACAGAATGAGCGATGAGGATATATAAAGGGAGAGAAGGAGAGGGGAGGGATATAAATAAAATGTTCTACCCTATACAGTACAGCCCATCCTAGCCTACAAAGTACACGTGGAAATGTGTATGTGTATGTTGATATGATAATCCTTAAAAGCATGATCATGTCGGTGGTAGAGAAAAAAGAAAAGTAGAAGAAAAAGTTGCTTCACTGAAAATCAGGTCTGGTACATTATATTACAATATTAAATTATTGAGCCCTAGATAGATTTAGACCCCTTTCTTGTCAAATCCACCTGCAAAAGCATTTGTTCGAATAACCATTGGTTATTATAACATTCCCAAAGGCTTCTCCTAGCACATCGCTTCATAACGGGGCAGCGCACCTGTATCATTATCGCGTTAAGCTCCTATAGAGCACGCGGCAGCTCGAGAGTCACCCGAAGGTCAACAGTCGCAGATGGTCAACGGTCGCGACTATTGACCGTTCAGTAAATGCACTCGGAGGTTACACTGTCGAGGTAACTGTCGAGGATAGCAATAGTCGCGGTTACTGTAGCAATGTATTATAGTTAATAAGGGAATGTACCCCTCTGAATACATGGCTAGCTAGATTTGTTATTTAATTCCCTTATACTTCTATCTTAATCATCTTGTTCTACTCAATTATTTATCAACAAGGTCATCACAAAGACTTCAATAGTCTTCTCCAAAACTAGGCTAGCTTATCCTGATCCACTGCGATTCCTGGTAACATCAACATGTGTGTGTGTGTGTGTGTGTGTGTATGTGTGTATGTGTGTGTGTGTGTGTATGTGTGTGTATGTGTATGTGTGTGTGTGTGTGTGTGTATGTGTATGTGTGTGTGTGTGTGTATGTGTATGTGTGTGTGTGTGTGTTTGTATGTGTATGTGTGTGTCTGTATGTCTGTGTGTGTGTGTGTGTGTGTGTGTATGTGTGTGTATGTGTGTGTGTGTGTATGTGTGTTTTAATATATTAATATATATTTTTAATGATGATTCGATAGGCACACACCGAGAGAACAAGTATATGCTACTAAAGACGGTCGTAACCATACTTAAGGAATAATAAACATGCTACCACCCCAGCTGAGATTCCTAGGGCCGGGCCCTCCTCTTGGACCAGATTGCTGCAAACGCATTTGTCCACTTCCAACCACTGCCATCCAATTTGATCTTCCGTAACAACTTTGCTCTTCTGCCAGCCCCCTCGGATTCTGTTTCCGCCACGTCACTCCGAAGTTGCGAAGATATATCTTTGCATGCTGCTTGAAAGCGAACTTGATCCTGCGCAATAGTCGTCGCATCCGCAATTTCCCGCCACGAAATACAGCATCACAGCGCTCCAGCCACAGTTGGTAAAAGGTGATTGTCAAAGGTGATTTTCGTGATGGTCAGCTCCGGAAATACTGAGCTGTTGCTGGTTTCCTGGAACAGAAGGTCACCCAGCGTGGCCGTTGTGCCGTTGGGATTGAACATGCAAAGGGCACGTCGAAGAGCTGAGGTGACAGCCTGGATCCGGGGGCACTGAATAAGACAATGTTCTAGAGTTTCCAGCTCCCCGCAGTACGGGTAGGTGGGCTTGCTGCTGAGGAAAGCAAGCTGCTCCCCCACCTGTAAGTTGAGACCGTGGATTCGGACAAAGACATCGCGTGGACGGCTGGGAACCGCCAGCGAGTCGCGTGTCTGAATCACCCATCTCCAATCAATGTGCCCGTCCCATCGTTCTGCCCATTTCTGCTGTTTGTACGACTGAATGTTGGCCGCTGTCCAGGCCTCCTTCATCTGCCGCAAGGGGATTATCTGCCCGTCTGAGAAAATATTCAGCCGCGTAACAGAGTCAGCCGAGCGAGGGAGCACCGTCGGAAACCCCAACACTCGAAGCCATGGAGCATGAATTGCACCTAGTGCCCTTGTCACTAGCCTCGCAGGACCACCCCCTCCTAGTCGCTGCGTTAGAACCGCCATGGATAACGACATCAGCTCCCAGTCAGCTCCCTCCTCCAGCAGGTCACCCAGTCTTAGTTTGTGGATTTGCTTTGCATCGTTCTGACCCCCGACTGGAATGGTCCCATTGATCAGGATACCATTGTTGAACACCACCCGTTCCTGCAACACCTCCTCTTTTGTCACTGCAACCGGCCGGATGCAGAGTGGGGAGCGAATGAAACACTCGTAGGTATGCTTCCAACAGATGCTCCGACCGTCCTAGTGCTTTAACAACTTCCCGTGTCCTCTGCCCCCAGAGGTAAGTCCGTCGCCTTAGTCATGATGTCGCGCTTAATCAGGCTCTCTTGAGTGATAAACAACCCCACCCTCCTTGTCGCAAGGCAAGAAATTACGATCTCCGGGTCTCTCACTCCGATCCCCCTGCTTTCCTAGTTTTGTACAGGAGTATCTTGCTCCAGAGAATGAAGCCTTTCATCGCTAAAACTCTATTGCCGGAGACGAAGCCATGAAGAAGACGGGTGATGTCATCCCACGTGTCCGCGGGTGGTGGATAAACCTGCGCCTGCAAGGCCACGATCGAGATGATGTAGTAGTTAATCACCGCGCTCTCGCTGATGTTGTAAGATATTTCTACTGCCACTTAACCAATTTCTCCGTAATGTGACACAGTGCCTTCTCCCAAGTCGGCACACCGCTTCCGGATGGCGATACCCAGACCCCCAGCAGTCTCTCCGCGTCGTCCGCTCCGGCCCACTTAAAGCCTCAGCCCCCGTCGTCAAGTAAGTAACGATTTCTGGTCCCAAGCAAGTCCTTGCTGTGGCCTCGTCCTTCTTCAACAATATCTTTGGTAAAGATCGGCGTACAGACTTAGAAGGCTGGGAGATCGCTCCGAATCGGCGCCTGGTTGGGGGAGCTACGGAGGCACTGACAGCAGAATGGACGGAACAGGAGGTTAAGAACGCCTTTGTAGCGATGGCGAACATCATGTCTCCAGGAAGCGACGGGCTTCCGAAAGAGCTTTACGAAGCACATTGGGACCTGCTGGGGGGAAGTTTCATGGCAATGGCGAGAGATTTTGAATCATCGGCCTCTCTACCGGCGGAGATAAAAGAAGCGGTGACGATTCTCCTTCACAGAAAGGGTGACCGTGATCAACTCAACAACTACAGGCCTATAACGCTGCTGAACTTTGCTTACAAGGTGTTGGCGAGGGTGGTGGCGGATCGCATGAAATCGGTGCTGCATCACCGGAACAGTACGGACCATCCGGGTGGGGAACCGGACCCATCCGGGTGGGGAGACGGACCGACCGGACCACCCGGATGGGGAACCGGGTGGGGAACCGGACCAACCGGGCAGGGAACCGGTTCATCCGGACGGTCCGGGTGGGGAACCGGATCACCCGGGTCAGCCGGGTGGCGAACCGGCGGATCAACCGGACCATCAGGGTGGGGAACCGGGTAGGGTGCCGGGTTGGGAACCGGACTAACCGGGCGGGGAACCGGATGGACCGGACCAAGCGGGTCAACCAGACCGACACCGGGTGGGGAACCGGGTCGGAACCGGGTGGGAAACCGGATCAACAGGGTTGGGAATCGAATAGACCGGATCGGTCGGATCGACCGGACCGAGACCGGGTGGGGAACCGGATCGGAGCCGGATCAACCGGGTGCTCTCAAATTTTCAAGAATTCTAGGGGCCAGAGAGCAAGTCAAAACCAGACCAACCGGGTCATCCGGGTGGAGAAAACCGGATGGGGAACCGGACCGGTGGGGAGGCGGCTTTCCGACGCGGTGGCGATGGTGGTTGATATAATTGACGCCGCAAAGAACGGCAACAAGGATTGGTATCTCCTCCTCATTGACTTCCAAAAAGCTTTTGATTCCGTGTTCAGGGATTTCCTCTTCTAGGTGCTGAGAGGGATGAGGTTCACTCCGCGGTTTGTGAAGTGGATCGAAGGTCTGCAAGAAAACACGTCGACAAAGCTCTTTATTAACGACTGGTTGGGGGGAGGTCTGAATGTGGTGTCCGACGTCAGAGAGGGGTGCCCTCTCGCTCCATACCTCTTCTTGTGTGCGGTTGAACCTTTGGCACAAAAGGTGGAGAGAGCGAAGCTTAGGCTGAGCATAGACGAGCAGCGGCTGAACTATCTTGGGTATGCGGACGACATGACCCTAGTTCTGCAAGGGAAGAGCAAATTGTCAGCGTGGAGAACATTCTAGATAGATTTGAACTAGTTTCCAGTCTGGCGACAAACAAACATAAACATGGTATAAGAGCGAGAGTGGATTATAAGATCTGCGAAGTTTCTGTTCTTCGTAGAACAACCCTCTATTAACGTATCCTTTATAAATACCTGTTACATGTCTGCATCACTATAGCTACTGAAGGGAAACCTACTGCAGACTCTCCGAGCCCACCACCAGCAACAATTAATGCACCCTCAGCGGTGTCCTCCGTCAGCACCGCCTTCGTTGAGCAGGTCGTTGCTCGCATCAACGCCCTTGAGCATCGATGGCTCCAGCTATGCAAGAGGAGTTGCTGGACTACCTCTTCCTCGAGAAGACAGTCGCATCAACTCCAAGAGATCATTCACCTTTGATAATCGTCAAGCTTCAGCTCCTGCGCATGACAGTCAACAACACGCACAGTCAGAAACAATCGCAACTATGCAAACAAAGTTCGTTCTGACATCAAACCTGAAGACTTAACATCTTTCAACGGAAATTATTTCTACACGTGGAGCTTTGAATTCAAGCTCCTCGCAACCACCGCGCAGATCTGGATGTATTACGATAGAAGCTTACATTTTCTCGCAAAAGAAACTCTTCAGGAGAAGAACCAGTACTTCCACGAGTCCCTTCTCGCATACACCGCTCTCCTCTGAAATCTCTCCCCCGTTGAGCAGCTTGGCATTCGCTCATACAATTTAGAGTGCGCTCCTGCGCAAGTGTCTTGGGAGCACCTGCACAATTTATACATGGCAAAAAATCCTGTAACCATGAGTCGCCTACTCAGCCAACTGACATCAGCAAAAAAGTTCAAGGGGAGAAAGCGGGACAGTATATAAATCGGTGCCGAAACCTGCGCGACCAATTCAAGAAATGTGGCGAAAACGTCCCTGGCGATATGTTCATCTCGATAGTCCTCTCTGGAATAGGACCAGAATGGCAGCAGTGTCAATCGTTGCTCCGCGCTCGAGCAACCATCTCCGAATCCCTCCTCTGCCCCACAATTCTCTCCGAGCAGAAAGAAATCGACTTGTAGAACAAGAAGAACAACAAGAGGGAGAAGTTAGTTTTTTTTGCTGGAGCAACTGAAGGGGAGCAGCACGAGAAGAAAGGGTCCTCCTGCAAATACTGCAAGAAACCAGGTCATACCATAGACCGTTGCTACAAGCGAAAGGCTGCTAACGAAAGGCGCAGCATCACTCAACAAACTTCGGCGCCTTCTCCAACTCCAGCCGCGACTACGACAATGTCGCCACCCTCCATCGCAAGCACTTCTCAGGCTCCTGCACTTATCTCATCCAAGGACAAGGGCAAAGGATCAATACTCAGTTGCATGGCGAGTCGCAGAGGCATTCGCTACTACGATAGATTACACTACCCATCAATCGTGCCAATCAACCCAGTCATACCAAGCCCAAGTAATGATCCTACGATCAGCCCTTGGGTCGATGCACCAACAAATCTCCCACCTGATTTCTTACTGCCTCCGAGCATGCCGGAAACTCCTCCCGGGTTCCCTGCAAGACACGAGAACAATCTCTCGCGCTTCTACGTTGATATTGACCGCATCATCACTCCGAAAATTGCTGGTATCGCACGTCACAACGATGAGAACTTCAACAAATGGTATTTTGTTAGCTGCTGCGGGCAACACATGCTGGGATCACCAAAGTACATAAGTAACTCGTAAAGGATGAGACAACCGTGCGAAATCACTGTCGCAAACAACAACTGACTGAGGCTTACGGGATTGGAGAAATCTGCTTACAATCAGGTGACACCAACTTCACCATTCACATCGGTGACGTACTCGTCGTCGCCGACCTTCAGTTCAACCTTCTCTCTGCAGCGCAACTCATGAAATGCGGAGTCGACATTCGAAGCAACTGCTAAGACGAAAGCTTTGAGCTATTTAATAAGAATACCTACATCGGGAAGGCGACAGATGAAGGAGGAGTCTTCGTCCTAAACTTCAAGTCGCTGGGCGACACTGGAGATTTGGAAAGTACGCTCCTGCTGAAAACAACACCAACGGATACACCAACTTGGTCGCAACCCGAAGAAATGGATCTTGAACGACCCGCGTCGGACGGTCTGCTTCGCTTGCGCACTGTCCCAGCTGCCTCGACCTCCACTCCAGGAGATACCGGATCTACAACGATGGAACAAGAAGCAATCAGTGAAGGGTCAGCAACTGCAGGGCAGATAGAAACTGGGGGATTGGGGGCTACAGGAGAAGCTGCCCCGGGCTGGACCACCAACGAAGTCACCATAGGCGCGTGGGGAGTGCCGCAGTCACCAGTGGCAGGAGTCCCCCCAGGAGGCGGATGGGGAACGTCAGGCAGCTGGAAACCAACAAGTCCTCATTATCCTGAAGCTCCAACGCTTCCCCACAAGGATGTGGAAGCGAGAGATCCATACTCGGCGACACGCGGAACCAGCTGGGGTGGACCTCCTCTTCCATATCAATACTGTCAAACATTATATGTGTTGTGCTATTATATTTGTGTAGGCTATAGTGGGTTAGCCTATAGGGGGGTCACAACATTAGGGTTTCATATTTGTACTCACAATCCTTTCTAGTTCACCATTCCAGTCCGTTATCACTGACATGGTTTCAGAGCAGGTCCGTCGCTAGGACTGTTCTTAGGGCCCACCTACCTACCTACCTACCTACTGTGCGCCTCGTGCGCCTGCGCGTCCTAGAGCGCTCCTTACCTACCTACCACGCGCACGCAGCTCGCTAGCCGCCCACGCGTGGCTTTCCTTTTTTGTTTTTTTACCGCGCGCGCCGTACTAGCCGCTCGCGCGCGGCCGTTTTCACGCGTGCGCCCCGCCAGCTGCCCGCGCGCGCTTTATTTTCTTCGCGCGCGGCCCGTCGCGCTGCCTCCCCGCTGCCCGCGCGCCTTTGCAGAGCTGCCCGCTGCCCTGTGCGCCACGCTGACGCACCCGCTGCTGCAGCCGCCCGTCGCCTGCTCGCGCACGCCCCGCAGGCCCGCAGCCCGCCGTCGCAGAGGCCGCACGTCAGCAGCCGCCCGTCGCCTGCTCGCGCACACCCCGCAGCCGCCCGTCGCCTGCTCGCGCACGCCCCGCAGCCGCCCGTCGCCTGCTCGCGCACGCCCCGCTGCCCGTAGCCGCCCGTGCGCCGCTGCCACTGCCGCACGTGCGCATACGCAGCTGCCGCCCGTGCGCTGCTTCCGCTGCTGCTTGCGCACCGCCGCCTCCTGCCGTCGCCGCACGTGCACTGCTGCCGCCTGTGCGCCGCCGCTGCCCGTGTGCCGCCGCTGCCCCTACGCTGCCGCTGCCCATGCGCCGCTGCTGCCCGTGCGTCGCTGCCGCTCGTGCACCGCTCGCAGCCGCTGCCGCCCGTGCGCTTCTGCAGCCGCCGCCCGCGAGGCGCTCGCTCCCACTGTTTTTTCTACCTACCGCGCACACTGCTGCCGCTGCAGCTGCCACCAGTGCGCCGTTGCAGCTCCTGCTGCCACGCTCCCTACTACTGCCGCTCGTGTGCCACTACGGACAGTCGACCCCGCCCGCGCCTTACCTAGCGGCCCCGCCGGCCCCGTTGACCCTACGCACACCTTTCCAGCGGCCTAGTTCCTACTCCTACTACTGTCACTATGGCTAGTCCTCCCGTTCTAGCTTTCGATGCCGAGGGCCGTCCGGTGAAGTTCGAAACAGATGACCTGCACCTGTTCCTACAGCTCACTGCCAAAGAAGACATCTCGCTGTACGACCACGCCCTAGGCCATGCTACTGCCCCTGACACGTCTGCTGACAGCACTCTACGCTCTCAGTGGCAGACTCGTGATGCGCACGCTCGCTTTGCTATTCGCAACTCCCTGCCGCTAGACGAGCGCGAGCACTTCGTCAAGTGCAAGACTGCTAAGGACCTCTACACCGCTGTAGTTGCCCGTTACTCCTCACCCGCTTCTGCTACGCTAGGCCGCCTCACTCTCCCCTACCTGTTCCCCGACCTAGCCTCCTTTCACACTGTCGCAGACCTCATCACCCACCTTAAGACTAGTGAGGCCCGCTTTCGCGCTGCTATGCCTGCCGAGTTTCTCACTAGCAACCCCCCCCCGCTCTGGATCACTCTCTACCACATTGTCACCCGCCTCCCTGACTCTCTGCGCGCAGTCAGGGACCACTTCCTCTCTCGCTCCCCCACTGAGCTCACTGTTGCCCTCCTCGAGAAGGAACTGCTTGCAGCTGAGGCGAGCATCGTCGCTGTAGGCACCTCTCGTGGCGACCCCCGCACCCCGTTCTTCGAGGGGTGTTCCCCTTCCCCCCTCCTCCCCTCTGTCGCCTCTGCTGCTGCTGTCGACCTCCTTGGTGCTGAGAAGGTCGGGACCGCGTCTGCTTCGAGCGGGCGCCGCAGGAGCAAGGGAGGCAGGGGTGGGGGTGGTGGCGGAGGAGGTGGGGGTGGAGGCGGTGGGAGTGGAGGCGCGACTGGGGAGGCTAGTGGCGGCAGTGGGGGAGGAGACAGCAGCGGCGGGAGCGGTGGCAGGGGTGGAGGCGGCAGCGGAGGTGGAGGTGGTCGTGGCGGCGGCAGGGGTGGAGGTGGCCGAGGCGGTGGTGGTGGCGGTGGTGGTCGTGGAGGCACTGGCGGAGGCCCGAGTCAGCAGCCCGCCCCGACGCTTCAGGCCGCCCGTGAGTGGTATGCGCAGCGTGGCTTT